ATGTATATGTATTATATATACGTATATATATTATGTATGTATATGTATTATATATACGTATATATACTATATATATACGTATATATACAGGTAGTCCCCAAACTAACAATGTTTTCAACTTACAGCCAACTGCACTTAAGGCAGTGTGTATTTTACTACATACAATGTTGCAGCACGTAATTTGCTGATGTTATCATTCTCAGATGTTCACTCCAAATGTTTATATGTAATATTTCCAACCCCCAAAGACAAATAAAGATACTGCTAATAAAAGGTAATAATGAAAACTAAAAAAAATGAGGTATTCAACTTACATCAAAAACGATTTACGATGGTGTTGTTGGAACAGAACTCCGTCATAAGTTGAAGACTACCTATATGAGCATATATGTACATATTCATGCATATATATATATATATATATATATACATATATATACATGCATGTATACACATACACACTAAGTCATTAAAATATCACATCCTTTTCTTTGGTTCCACCCTTAACCCTCAACAAACTGTATCAGATCATTTTGGGAAGGGGCCCAAGAACATACATGGGTGAAACAACTCTAGAGGGGACTCTGATTCGCACCCCAGATTAAGGTCACTGTGATGCTAATACCTGCACTGGGAAAATCCTTTGTATCTTGATGAGGAGACTGTTTTCTCTCCCCTCACCCATGCAATGTCCTCCTTTTTTACCTGACCTTCTGTCTCCTAGTTCCCAGACTTCACTTCTATACCTCTTCTCCCTGGCAGGCAGGATGACTCCAAACACCCTGACCGTGAATGGAGTCGATGTGGCCTCCACGCTATCCCAGCCCACCCACATCCACATCCACATCCATCAGGAATCAGCTTTGGCCCAACTTCTAAAGGCTGGGGGTTCCCTGATGTGTCGTCTGTCTCACGCTCGAGACACTGCTCCTCCCAAGGCCAGGATGAGCCATTGGCAGCTGGCACTAGGGGTAAGCATGGGCTGGAGAGGCGGGTGGGCAAGGTGACACAGAGGATGCAAACAAGGAACGTGGGTTGAATCCCCACAAGGAGAGTATGAGAACTCACTACTCAATCCCCTATTGTTCCAGAGAGGATTTAGGACCTTCTCTAACCACGTAGTTTGTGAGGCAGTATGGTTGGGTGAAGAAGGCTTTGGAAGTTTTCCCCAGAGATTTGGATGGGAAGGAACTATCATCCTCTTCTTCAGTGCAAAGGGGCAGTCAGGCCAGAGCTGGGATGATGGATAGGAGACTCTCCAGAGGCTGTTAATTCAGTCGATTGAACACATGAGCTGAGGGCCTGTGGTGTGCAAGGCAATATGCTGGCACTTCAAGGAAAACCATAGTGAGAATCCCTAGGTTATGACCTAAAGGACTCACTCCTCTTCAGAAATGATCAGTAGCCACAAAAATGACTGGAATTAAAGATAGACTAAGTGATACAAGAAACAAGATGCACACAAGACATACCAGGCAACTTCCAGGAGGAGTTGGCATCTGAGCCAGACCCTGAATGGAGGAGTGGGTTTGTATGGAGAGAGATGGAAGACTGAAGAAAAGGAGCTCCAGGTTAAGAGGATGGCAGGACCAAAGGCCAAGAAGCTAGAAAGCACAAGGCCAGCTCTGCAATCATAGAGCCTTCATGTCCAGCATGTGGAGAATGTGAATGAGGCTTACGGTCAATGAAATTGGAATGCAGACCAAGGCCACACTGTTGAGGGCCAAGAAGTCAGGGGGGAGGTGTCTGTCCTGAGTCATTTTCAGTGGTGGGGGTGGCTGTGGGTCTATTCTGAGTAGGAACCTGGGCTCTAGGCTGCCTCATAGAGGGGTCCAGTTAAGAAGTATCCAGGGACTGCACTTGCATGGTAACAGCAGAAATGACAAGGAAACAAAGGCTGGGATCTCCATGACTTAGGAGCAACTGGACTTGGGTATGAGGGAAGAGAGGAACCCAAGAATATGCCAAGATTTGGAGCTTGGCTGGCCTGGAGAATGGAACCATGGAAGTCAGGGGAGGCAGATGTTGGGTTGTGGAATTTGGATGTGATGAACCTGAGATGCTGGCAGGACATGCAGGTGCTGACGTCCAGAGGGCTGAGTCTGAGTTAGGTTTGTGGGGTAGAACACCTTTGGAATGAAGAAAGAGAAAGCAGGATTGGAAACAGAAGGCATAGACTGCACTGCAGACCTGAGAAGGTTTCTGCACTCCGAGTGGGGAGCTCCAGAGCAAAGTACGGAGCTGCCCATTAGAGGAGTTCCACGATGGGTGGAAATGGCCCTTGTACCACTGCCTTGCTTATGCCTGGCTGGGGCCATCCCGAAAGAGTGTGCATTCAGCTTGAAAGATGAAGAGGAGCCTGAAGGGGCTTTGAGTCTGTCACAGAAGCCCTCAGAATTACCTGCTTGGATCTCAAGAGAGAGGTTGGGGCCAGAAACTGAGGTCAGGCTGAGGGTTTGGATGGGATGATGGGATTACCAAAGGAGAATGAGAGAAAAGGTGGCAATCATGTGGAACGACCAAATGTGGTAGCTGGGAAAAGTAATCGAGGATAAACAGCCAGTCACACTGGAGAGGGGAGAGGAGAGCCAGGTCAGTGTGGCCTCATGGATGTGAAGGAAACAGAACCTCTCAGAATTGGAAGCTGCAGAGAGGTCCACAGATGAGAAGGAGAGAAGAGCCACCTTGGCCAGAGCTGGGACGCGTAGGCTCATGGGAAAGGTCTGGATTATTATTCTGTCTTGCAGGTGACCCAGATACTGCTGGGGGCTGTGAGCTGTGCTCTTGGAGTGTTCCTCTACTTTGGGCCCTGGATTGAGCTGCGTGGTTCAGGCTGTGCCTTCTGGGCAGGGACTGTGGTAAGTACAGAAGGGGATGTGAGCAGAGAGGCTGGGCGGAGGCAAGAGGTTATGGGCAAGGAGAAAGTTCCTTTGGATCTGGGCCAGAGGCTTGGGAAAGAAGCCTTTGTCCGGAAGAAACTGCCTTGAGGGGTGGGTACAAACCTCCTCACTCCCCATTTTTCGCTTTATGGCAAGTTTGGGAGACTAGGTTTCTTTGTCCCACAGACAAAGGCTGTTCTGGGAATCATTGGGGGAAGGGCGATGGGAGATCATTTGAGGGAGAGTGAATTGGAGGCCTTTTTCTGGTGTCTTCTCTTCCCAGGCTATTGTGGCAGGAGCCGGGACCATTGTCCATGAGAAGTACCAGGGCCGACTTTCAGTGAGTCCTGGGCACACTTCTGTCTACCACCTTGTCCATCTCCCCTTCCTGTGTCTCTGTCTTTCTGCATCTATTTTCCTATCTCCTGTCCTTTGGTTCCCAATGTCCTGGAGTCCTTCATGAAGGGGTGGAAGAGTTTACTGGGACAGGAGCTGGGGAAGAGGAGACAGGTTGAGGCTGGGACCCTGTGGCTCTGCCATCAGTAGAGAGTTGGCATCTTGAACCTCTCTCCTCCAGGGCTGCGTGTCAGGTCTGCTCACCCTGGCTGGCATCACCACAGTCCTGGTAGCTGTTGTCCTCTGTGTGAATAGCTTAACCTGGCAAACTGATGACTTCTTCTACATCGACTCAGTGTGTGATCGCCCCACCCCTGACACCACAACCAGTGGTTACAGATGGATGCGCCAAAGCAGGAGTGACTCAGACTGGAGGGAGAATCAGTGCAGGTCCTACATGCAGATGCTGATGGTGAGAACCGAGCCCAGTCTCCAGGGATCCATCACAGCCCCCTGTCCCCAAGGAATTGGGACACTGGAGGGCAGAGATGAGAGCTCATAGAGCTTGGACCTAATCCTAGGTTTTTGGTTCAGTAGGTTTTACTTTAAGCTTGAGAAATTTCTCAAACCCTCATGACATGAAGGTTCACTGAATCAAAAGGGGTGAGGAACAAAGAGGAGACATTTAAGAGAGAAGATTGTTGGCCACCCTTCTGCCTTTTCAGGTGTGAGTGTGTTCCAGTTATCGACCACTGCATAGCAAACCACCCCAAACTTACACTACAATGTAGTATCATCTCTCCCAGTTCTGTGGGCTGAGTGGTCTCAGATGGGCACTTCTCGCCTGGGTTCTCTCTCTCAGGCAGTTGCAGTCAGGTGACAGGTAGGGGTGAAGTCATCTGAGGGGTCACCTAGGTTGGACAGCCAAGAAGGCTCCCCCATGTGGCTGGCAGTTGATGCTGGCTATTTGCTGGGAGCTCAGCTGGGGCTGCCAACCAGAGCACCTACAGTGCCTTCTCCATGTGGCTCGGGCTTCTTACAGCACAGCAACTAAGATCCACCAGGGATCATCCCAGTTGTGAGCATTTTAAGAGGGAGTAAACAGAAGTTAAGGGCTACACCTGTAATTGGCACAGTTATAGTGTATTTTATTGGCCAAATCAGTCACAAGTTCCATCCAGAGTTCAGGGAATGGAGAGAGAGCCTCTACCTCTTACTAAGGAGTGGCAAGATGACATGGCAGACAGGCAATGGTGGATGACATGGCTTCCCATTTATTGGATACTACAACCTGCCTTGGTGGGAAGTAGCTATTTGGACAGTCTGATACACGGTGGGTTGATGAGGTGGTAATAAGAGCAGAATTGGAGGAAGAGACTCCTGACTATATCTTTTTCCCTTCCTTCTTCTCCAGAATATGTTCTTAGGAATCCGTGCTCTGCTCCTGGCTGTCTGTGTCCTGCAGGCCATTGTGTCCTTGACTTCCCTGGGCGTGGGTCTTCAAAGCTTGCACAGCCACAGCTCACAGCCCCTGGTGAGTTGTCAGGGAGGCACTGCTGGACAGGTGTGGATTGGGCTGGTAAAGCTCTGGGGACTGGGAGAACATTGGGACCAGGAGCACCGCTGGTCCGAGGTCATGCTCGACCTTTTTCAGCTTCTTCCCTGTACTCGGCTCTTCCCTTTGCCATCTATGGAATGTAACCCCATCGCTGTGTCCTGGGCTTCTCCTGTCCACTTTTACTCCAATTTTCCCCACTGTCGCCTCCTTTCTGTCTTACTTATTTGTCTAGCTCCCCTTCTTTGGTCACCTTGTCTTTTTGCTTGATCCCCATTTTCTTTCACCTTTTCCTTTCCCTCCCTTCTTTCCTTTTCCTGATTTCCAAGTTCTATGAAGCTAACTCCCTCCCTATTCTTTTTTTTCCCCTAAGAATTAATGTTTTCCTTTTTTTTCTCAGAATGAGGAAGAGTCGGAGAAGAAGCTCTTGGGGGGGAATTCCATGCCTCCCTCTCCCTCCAAGGACAGCACCCAGATTGCCATCATCCTGTGAGCTGCCAGGACCTCCCTGGGCCCCTGAGTGCCCCTGTCTTGAGTAGCCCAGGCTATGGGAGGACCATCTTGCTCTCCCAGGGCCCCTCAGTGGTCTGTTCCTCACGCTGTCTCTCCTTTGGCCACTTTCCAACCCCTCCTCCTTCCTTCTCACCTCACCACCCTCTTACCCACTATTCCCACTCCAGTGTCCTCAGTTCAATGAACATATATTGTCTCATTTTTCCCTGACCCTGATTAAACAGAAACAACTAGGACAAATCTTGTACACAAAGGATGTGGTCTCCCTTTGTTTATACAGGTGGTATGCTGTGAGCCGCCTTTGTGTGATATGTATGGAATGAAACAAGAGCTGATTTATCACATGGGAACAAAGTCCCCGTCAAATTAAATTTGATTATGTTCTCTCTATCACAAGTGGCAAAACTCCTTTTTATGATTTCCTTCCATTCGATGTAAAGTGAAAATGACTTTCATGTACCCAAAATCTTTTTACCTACTAAGATGGTTTCCAATCATCTACAGTTTTAGCCTGCAGGCTTTAAAGAACTATATGAAGTCATGAAACGAGATTTTTTTCTCCCTCCCTCCCTTGCTTCCTTTCTTCTTTTGCTGTAATTAGCACTGGTTCTCTCTCTCTCCACACACACACAAACCCATTATTCTTCACTTTCATAGTCAATAATATAACCAATTTCTTTTTTCTTTTTCTTTATATATACATATGTATGGAAACCCTAGTGGTGTAGTCGTTAAGAGCTATAGCTGCTGACCAAAAGGTCTACAGTTCAAATCCACTAGGTGCTGCTTGGAAACCCCATGGGGCGGTTCTACTCTGTCTTACAGGGTAGCTATGAGTCAGAATCAATTTGACGGCAAAGAGTTTGGTTTGGTTTTGGTTATACATATATGTAGGGTCACTATGAATTGGAGTCAGCTCAATGGCAATGAGTTTAGGTATACATATGTGTATGTGTATGTTGTTGCTAGCTGCTGTCACGTCAATTCCAACTCATGGTGACCCCATGTGTGTAGGGTAGATGTGCTCCACAGGATTTCCAATGACTGTGACTTTTCATAAGTAGATCGCCAGACCTGTCTTCTGACGGCCCCCTGGGTGGGTTTGAACCACCAACCTTTTGGCTACTAGTTGAGTGCTTAACCATTTGTTTCACCCAGAGACTCCATCTATGTGTGTGTGTGTGTATAACTTCTGAAGGGCAAGAAAACAGATTATGGTCTGCAGAATTATGAAGTAATAATGATTTTGGCTTTTCTGATTCAAACATAACGAGAAGTCTTTTATCTCCACTATGGCTTTATGAAATCTCTATAGGGTAGATTTTATTACTTAGCCTCACAGGGGAAGAACTGGTATTCAAACCCAAGCTGAGAGACTCCAGACATCCCTCCCCCTTTAACCACTGTACATGCTGCCTCCTGAAGTTATGCCAAACAGGTGCAGAGCATTAGAAATGAGTAAGACATGGCTCCCACGCTTGGGAGTTTTAGAGTGGATTAAGAAGATTAAAAAAAACAAAAAAAAACTCGTTGCTGTCGATTCCGATTCATAGCAACCCTATGGGACAGAGTAGAACTGCCCCATAGGGTTTCCAAGAAGCAGCTGGTGGATTTGAACTGCCAACCTTTTGATTAGCAGCCGAGCTCTTTTTTTTTTTTTATTTCTGTTTTTAATTGTACTTTAGATGAAGGTTTATAGAACAAACAGTTTCTCATTAGTACATATATTGTTTTATGACAAAAGTTAACAACCCCATGACATGTCAACACTGTCCCTTCTCAGCCTTGGGTTCCCTATTACCAGGTGCTTTCCTGTCCCCTCCGCCTTCTAGTCCTTGTCCCTGGACTGCTGTGCCCCATTAGTTTTGTTTTGTTTTATGGGGCTGTCTAATCCTTGGCTGAATGGTGAACCTTGGGAGTGACTTCATTACTGAGCTTAAAGGGTGTCCTGGGGATATACTCTTGAGATTTCTCCAGTCTCTGTCAGGCCAGTAAATCTGGCCTTTCTGTGTGAGTTAGAATTTTGTTCTACATTTTTCTCCGGCTCTGTCAGGGACCCTCTGTAGTGATCCCAGTCAGAGCAGTCAGTGGTGGTAGCCGGCACCATCTAGCTATACTGGACTCAGTCTGGTGGAGGCCTTGGTAGCTGTGGTCCATTAGTCCTTTGGACTAATCTTTTCCTTGTATCCTGTTCTCTTCATTCTCCCTTGCTCCCAAAAGGATGAGACCAGTGGAGTATCTTAGATGGCCGCTCACAGGCTTTTAAGACCCCAGACACTACTCACCAAGGTAGAATGTAGCGCATTGTCTTTATAAGCTGTGTCATGCCAATTGAGCTAGATGTTCCCCTAGACCATGATCCCCACAGCCCTCCGCCCAGCAGTTCAGTCCCTCAGGGAGTTTGGATGTGTTATGGAGCTTCCATGACTTTTCCTTGTACAAGTTGTGCTGACTTCCCCAGTATTGTGGACTGTCTTACCGTTCACCAAAGCTACCAGTTGCAGCTGAGCTCTTAACCGCTGCTCCACCAGGGCTCCAGAAATGAGCTTTTGTAATAAAAGGTCACAGAAGAGACAGAGTATGGACAGAGTCAGCAGATGGATTACAGGAGTCGACAGATGACAGCCCAAGGGTGGGTCCAATCTGGCCCGCCATGCCCATTAGTTCATGAACTTTGCTTTTGCGTTACAAGGGCAGAGTGGAGCAGTCAAAAAACCCCGTTACCATCAAGTTGATCTGACTCATAGCGACCCTGTAGGACAGAGTAAAACTGCCCCATAGGGATTCCAAGGCAGTAAATCTCTACAGAAGTTGACTGCGACATCTTTCTCCCGAGGAACTACTGGTGGGTTCTAACTGCCAGCCTTTCCGTTAGCAGCCGAGTGCTTAACCACTGCACCATCAGGGCTCCTTGGAGTAGTTTTAACAGAGGCCAAATGACCCACAAAGCCAAAAATATTTACTACCTTTTACAGGAAAATTTTCCAGATCCTCGTCTAGGAGATTACAGTGGAGAGAGTGGTTAGGTCTACTGTGTGGTGACTGCAGGATGTGGGATGCTCAAGAATGCCTACACAGAGGAGCCAACCTTTGGCCTGAGTGCCACATGTGAGCAACATGGGTAGGTTTGGTGAGGAGGACATTACAAACTGAAGGAGCAATTGTAGCAGCATATTCAGAAGACAGAAGCCTGAACCTTGATGATGTATTTTAGGAATTGCCAGACCTTCCAAAGCTGGCAGTGTTGTGGGTGGAGGTGGGGCAGGAGGAGAGCACAGCAATCAAAAAGACTGGAGAAGAGGTAAGGGATGGTAGGGAGGGTTTATATATCACTCCAAGGAATTGCATTTTATTCTGGAGCTGGTGTCGAGCCATTGAATGGTTTAACAGAAGGGACCCTGAATCAGATTTCTTATTCTTATTTCTTGTTGATTACAAATCATACTCAACAGCTAAAAACATGATTATACATGTGAAACTATGAACTCTGAAAGCTTTGTAGGTTGTTATTTCTCTTCAGGTTGAGCCTTGCTCCTACTATACTAGAATGCTCATGCCATACAGCCTAATTGGTTTTCTTACACCCTACAGTCTAGAGCCCACAAATCAAATCCCTAGGGCGTTGTCATCAGTCAGAAAAACTCAGACCCAGAACCATTGCTGATGCACCCTCCTCCCTCCATGAGAGAAGATGTTGAAGTCTCAAATGCATTCAGAACCTCCTAAACTTAACCACTGTGCCACTCTCGCAATGGAGATATGAACCACACTTCATTCTCCACTGAAGAGGCAAATGCAAATGCAGTTAAGCCCAGAAGCCAGATTGGGTTGCGGTGAGTCATATGTGGGTGCAGGCTCCAGGGAAAGATTACAGGTAGTCCCCGACTTACAACGGGGTTCCATTCCAATGATTCTGTTGTGAGTCACTCTGAAGTAAGCTGAATACCTCTTTTTTGTTTTGTTTTTTTTAGTTTTCATTATTAGTGCCTTTTATTATCAGTATATTTATAAGTCCAATCTTTGAACCTCTGTGAGTGAACACCTGAGAATGATAACATCAACAAATTACCTGTACCTGTAGTACATATGACTAACAATAAGATGTACCCCCCCCAAAAAAAAAATCAGATGGTTGTAAGTGCAGTTCATAGTAACTCAAATACGTCATAAGTCGAGGACTCTGTAATTCGCTAAGAAGTGTTTATTGTTGTCTCTCCATGGGTCACTTGTGTTTCTGCATGTCTTGCAAGTGAGACACTGACTGGCCTTTTGTTTCAGACTATTTTTTCAAGGATGTTTGTATATCTTGGTGAACAACCTCTGTCTTCCTCTGGAATAAAGCACAGGCATGCTTACTTCCTATTAAAAAATGTTCGGGCTCTTATGCTTAGCATTCCTGCCCTGTAATGCCACCCAGCTGAGTGTGCAGTATCAGCCTGCCCTTTCTGCATCACCCTGTGGGAACTGGGGCTCAGGGAACTGGTGGGAAAATGCTGACATTCTGGCTACTGTTATTGTTGTGACTGATAAATTATTCTTTTTCTCTGACTCCAGGGCTCCAGCCTCTAATAAATTGTGCCAGGCTAACTTATTAGCCTGCAAGTAGGTTGAATCTTGGCCCCTTCACTGTTCTTGACTATTGTTTATGTTGTTAGGTGCCATCCAGTCAATTCCGGCTCACAGTGACCATATGTTCAGCATAACAAAACAAAGCCCAGTCCTGTGCCATCCTCACAGTCGTTGTTATGCCTAAGCTAATCGTTGCAGCTACTGTGTCAATCCATCTTGTTAACGGTCTTCCTCTTTTTTGGTGACCCTTTACCAAGCATGATGTCCTTCTCCAGGAAATGGTCCCTCCTGATGACGTGTCCAAAGTACGTGAGATGAAGTCTCACCATCCTTGCCTCTAAGGAGCATTTTGGCTGTACTTCTTCCAAGACAGATTAGTTCATTCTTCAGGCAGTCCATGGTATGGTCAAT